GGTTCAGCTTGGGAAGTTATAGAAAAAAAAAAAAAAAAAAAAAAGCTAAATTATTGACATGACATATAGGCTCAAGTTTTGGTTAGCTAAAGTTTTAAAATACAGTATAATAATTATTATTTTTATAATATATATTTTTTTTTGCCATTTATTGCCAAATAATGAAGTAAGTATTGACTTACTAACATGTAAGCTAATTTTTAATTTGAAGTGAAGCTATTTTTTTCTTAGAGGTGAAAGCATGAGTATTATTAAAAGTGTATGTTTTAACTGTGTTTACTTTAATCCCTTCACATAGAAACTATCATATGGAGGTCTTGGTTTTAGGCATAAATTATTAAAAATATAAAACTCTCGCTTCAAAGTTCCAGATAGCTCAACTGAAGCTGGTCCACCCGTGCTGCAAAGAACGGTAAACATAATGAAAGTAGACTTAGCCCTCTGATTTCATTAAAAACATAGTGATATAGACAAACAAAACGGATTTCTCATTTCACAAGCATCAGTTCTCTGCTCTGGTGGCGGAGAGCCTGTCTGTACTCATTGCATTGTGTGAATAATTTAATGAAGCTGACAATTCACGTGATAAGCCGTTTTATTATTCAAGGGCCCATTCCTGTGCTGGGAATGTATGGCAAAATGCGCTATGCTGCAGTTATGCAATCTGACATTGCATAAGTCAAGTGGCCCACAGACAGACTACAGGAGGAGCAAACAAAAGAAAAGATGCAAAGAAGGATAGAAACCGCCAGCGTGAGTCAGAGCCGTGGCCCGGCAGCCTCTCGAGAACACCAGTTTGATTAATGACACTTCAGCACCTGCAAATCTCAATGAAAACATCTGAGATTCTCAGACTTTTTCACACACAAGCAGAAGTTAATTTGTTCCCCTAAAGATTCTCAATACTATGAAGAAAATCTGTTACCATTTTCTTTTTAAAAAACAGACTGCATAATACAGCTCGGGTATAAACAGTTCTAGAATACAAATATAATTTTAAGATGAATTAAGCAATTAAGTTTTTGTTTCAACCATAAACCTTTTGTTAGAGTTATGCTTAAAACAATAAAAACCCATTTTGCAATCAGGTGAGAAAAAAAAACAAGATTTATTATCTGAAAGCAACTCAAAAACATGAACGCAATTTTATTTTTCATGTAAATACATATTGTTTTAAGGATGGTTAATTCAAAAAAAGAAAGAAAATAAGATAAATACTGATTATGAAAATTATTAAATTATTAAAAATTATATTATGCATAAATGATAAGTAAATAATTTTTACAGTATATTGACTATAAAATAATCTTATTAAATTCATTAAGATTACTTTGCCTAGGTGCAAAATATGCCAAATTATTTACATGAAATATAGGCTGAATTTATGGTTAGTTTAATTGTTTTGTATTATTTTTCATTAATAAATTAATTAATTAGTTTAATTATTTATTTGTATATTTAATTTAATTTAATTTTATTACTTTATTTATTTTGCCATTATATTAAAATAACTTTTTTTCAATTTTTTTTTTTTTTTGGTAATAGCTCACCTCTTTTTATTTGCTTGAGTGAATAATATCAGCACAATAACTCCCTGTCCGTGAACTGATTCAAAAAAGTCTATGCAATGTGATTCAGTTTTTATTAGATACATCTGACAATATTTACAGAATGACTCAGAGTCTGGATCATTTTCAAGATTTAACAAATACTGACAAATAATGCACTTGTTTGAACAGCTTGCAACCAGCTCACAGCTGTCCAATTATATGATATTACTAATTTATGGTGGGAAAAAAAACGAGACCTGTGATCTAAGAAAATTGGCTGACTAAACGATCCCAAGTTAATTTCAACTGGCTTACAGTCGAATGAGTCTAGTAAAATACTGGAGATGCTCCAAATGTAGCTAATTCTCCAAAAGATGGGAAGTTAATAAACAAATTAGTTACAGAATTGTAGATTAGGGGTGTGCAGCGGAGTCAATATCTGAATATGTATCTGTAGCAATCTAAAAAAATAAAATTGTATCTGTATTCGGAAAGTTCTTCAAATTACATAAAAAGTTTTAAATGTAATTCTATTATTAGTACACTCACCACACACTGCCAGCTACTTTGGTGCGAAGACCAATATACAGTGGGTACGGAAAGTATTCAGACCCCCTTAAATTTTTCACTCTTTGTTATATTGCAGCCATTTGCTAAAATCATTTAAGTTAATTTTTTTTCCTCATTAATGTACACACAGCACCCCATATTGACAGAAAAACACAGAATTCCAAAAATACAAAAAAACGTCACTTTTAACTGAAATCAATTATAATAACAACAACAACAACAATGGGAACAATAACACAGGCAAAAATGACGTTCATAAATATTTGACCAAAAAAGGGGGTTATTATTATTTTTGAACTGAAGTTTGTGGATTGATAGTTTTATTATGAACACCTGATAACACTCATTGCTTTGTATATAATTCCTGAGAATCAGTGAATTGACACACTGAAGAAGGCTGAAACATTTGTCTTGCAGGTTTAAAATATTTTTGAACTGGTTGGTTATAAATGTAATTCTGTTCTCCTGGTTGATATCTGTTTCATTTTCATTTAACACATATTATTATTATTAAACTTTCTTTAAATATGTTTTAATAAAACAATACAATTAAATATTAAAAAAAAAAAATCTTTATTTTTTTCATTTTCCAGAGGAACTTTGAGTACCGCTTTATGTCAGAACAATCATCCACAACCTCAAATAAGAGGACTCTAAATAAAATAGCTAGAGAACAACGAAGTTGAAAGAAAATATTCAGTAGTTGAAACTTTTACTATGCATAATATTAATGCAAATCTGAACACATGAAGAATGCATAAATTACAGACCAGCTCCAGGAGAGAGTGATACAGAGAAAGTGTATCATATTGTACAAGGAAATAAAACATTTAAATAAACATATCAAATAATAGAAAACATGCATGATTCAGTATCTTACTCTGGTCAAGCTCTGATTTCTAAGAGATGCACAGTGGCAGCTATGTTTCAGTATACACTCATTCTCACACACACACACACACACACACACACACACACACACACACAGGTTTGTTTTTGTGAAAAGTGGGGACATCCCATAGGCGTAATGGTTTTTATACTGTACAGACCGTATATTCTATTGCCCTACACCAACCCTACCCCTAAACCTACCCCTCACAGGAAACTTTGTGCTATTTCAGATTTTCAATACACTCCATTCTGTGTGATTTATATGCGTTTTGAAAAGTGGGGACATGGGGTAATGTCCTGAAAAGTCACCTTCTCCTTGTAATACCTATGTCATACCCTTGTCATTATACAAATTTATGTCCTCATTTGTCACAAAAACGCGCACACACACACAGAGACGACTGTAATGCACTCACAGCCACAGCCACAGCCACACATTCTGTGTGTGTGTGTGAGAATGAGTGTAAACTGAAACTTACACTCATTCACACACACACACACACACACACACACACACACACACACACACACACAGCATTATTTTGAAAGTTTATATATAATTTTAGAATATAATGTATAATATCGTGATTTCCTTTGGCTCACCAAACATGAGGAGCGACTGTATCTGCCAACTATTTTTCCTATTATTCAGTAGTTTTTCATGTTGAAGCCATTATCCGTGCCTTTCCGAATAAGTTATTTAGCTTCAGGTACATGCAGATACTCATGCAAGTTATTTTGATAATTACAGATAGTATCAGGCCATATTAACACACTCATTGTCTATATCAGACCCTAATGAAAATGTGATGCAACGTTTGCCGTATCCTCCCCTCGTCTTTTCTTTTCTCTGGAGCATCTTGTGAGTGGATCACTGGACTCACTGCACTTGAGACTGATGCCTCTGCTTACACCGAGGGAGATAGAGATGTGTGGCAGTGAAAGAAAAGCTTGTGTCCACGTCTTTGCTCTGGGGTGACCGCATACCGCTCAGAGGACAAGAGACACTTTGCTTTTTATGGGACACATTATCTCCACTGCGCTCACACTGATTTTACGGCTCTCCGAGATACTCCTGCTGTTTTATCTGTGCGACTGCCAGAGCACATGTTGT